AGCGTCACCGACGTCCCTGTCAGCTGGACAGGGCTCTGTGTATCCGGCCACACACCTCCTCAGCTCCCAGAGTCACCATCATCTCTGCCACGCTCGGGCCGTGCTGCAAACAGAGTGAGTCACTGAGCACAGGAGCTGGACCCCAGCACGAGTCTGTGCATCACAGACTGCAACAACCGCTGCCACACTGGGGGTCAGCAGCAGCTCAGACAAAGCCTGGCTTTCTCCTGCTCAGAGGCACCTGAAGGATTAGCACTAGAGCTGAGCCAGGAGCAGGCTTTGGAGAACTTTTGTAGAACCTGGGTTTGAGCTCTGAAAGCACACTGCAGTGAGCTCAGAGCTGTTCTTTACCTGCTGCCCGCTGAGCGCCAGGCGCAGCAGCTGCATCATGCTGCTGTACTTGGTCTCTCTGGTTTGCTTCTGCACGCTTCTCAGCTCTCTGTTCAACTCCTCCACAGTCAAGGCAGCTGCTGGCCTCGTCAGGAGCCTTTGGGAAAGAAGGTGTCCTTACACTCTGGGGACATGAAAACCACAGGGTTCCTACCTCTCACCCCCACCCTGTGCCAGGGTGCTCCCTCTGCTCACCAGCAGCAGAGCTCATTCAAAAGAACAAGTTTAAACTACAAAATTATGCCACAGACCTGGAAAACCACAGAACGAGCAGTAATTCTGACTGTTTAAGAATACAGTTTTCAGAGAGGAGGAGCCATTGCTGCCACTCCTCAGCTCAGACAGCAGCACACTTACCCCATGACCAGTTTTCCTATTTCATCTGCTTCTGCAGAGATTGCTCGTAGCTGCTGCCGGGACACCGAGGGCCTGACCCACAGGTAAGAGTAATCACTCGACACCAGATTCTTCAGGAGGCTTATGTGACCCTGGGGGAAGAAAGCAAAGCTGGCAAGGCAGAGGGCTGTGCTGTGGAGGAAGCAATCCCTCAGCTTGGAGGAGGGTGGCACAGCAATCTGCTGCTACTCGTACTTTTCTCAGCAGAAGGACTCGCTCCACATATTCATTTTCCAGAACATCTGGATCCACTTGCTGCTCCCCATAGACGAGCTCCACCAGCCCCTGCAGCTCCCTGACGAGCTTCTGGCGCAGCCCCGGGTTCTCAATGTGACGGGTGAGGTGAATCCTGCAGCAGAGGAAAGACCTGCTTTTGGATTGCTTTGGGTTACCTCGGATCAGCCCAACCACGTTTCACAGAAATCACAGAATATTCTGAGCTGGAACAGACCCACGAGGATCAAATCCAACTCTTAAGGAAACAGCCCCTCTGGGGAGACTGAACCCACAACTTTGGCATTCTCAGCACCATGCTCTGACCAACCGAGCTAAAACTGTGGAAGTGTTAGAAAAGCAGCACCAAACCAGAGTCAGGCACTCTACAAAGAGGCATTTAGCTCTGGTGCCCACAGGGAGCTGATGATGAGGCCACTCTTAGCAGCACAAGTGTACTTGCAGAAGAACCTTCTGGAAGTGGTAACTCTTTTTAGATCTTATTTTCTTAGGTTATAAACATAAGACTTTAGATCCTCCCAGCTACACCCAGCCTCTGCCTAGACTTTCAGTGTTGCCAACCCCAGTGTCCAAGCACAGAATGGGAGAGGAGGCAGGAACTGTGTGAGCAGAAACTCATGCTTCCTCTTAGCAGAGCCCAACAGCTGCTGCTCCAGGACCATGCTTGATCCAACAAACAAAACCTGCAGCCAAAGTCAAGTGCTAGAAATAAATTCTCACTGACATGGTGCTTACTACATTTTAAAGCCACCACTAATTTTTTACCTGTTGAATTCTGGGAGCGCTTCAAGGTCCAGGAGAGCAGAATGGGTTGTAATTCTGCCTACATCAAACTGGGAGATCAGCTCCTCCAGAGTCCTCCCCATCTGCTTCTCTGCAACACAAGCCAAAGGGGATCCCTGGGCTCTGTGCCCCCTCGGGCACGGGGCCGGGCTGGCAGCAGAGGTGACACGGGACAGTGTGCAGGTGACACCTGTGCAGTGCCAGCAGCAGCAGGGAACTGGCAGCAGCACACACTGCCATGCTGCCCTGTCCCCAGGAGCCTGCAGTGCTGGAAGCACTGGGAACTGGGATGTTCTGCTTGGCTCCATCACCTTCCTCAGGGAACACCTGACAGAAATCACTCTCAGCCAGGAGTGAGCACTGCCCGAGCAAGATTTCATTCCCAAGCAGAGCTCTCAGAACACAAGTTAATTTGTGATCCCCACACAACAAGAACCACAAAAGGAGACATTGACTCAACTCCTTGTGGTCTGTCAGGTTAAAGGAAAAGTGGCACAGCTGTCAGACAGACACAGAATGCAAGTTTTCCCAAGACTTCACAGACAGTTTCTCAGCCTTGAAGTGGGGGTTTTCCCAAGGGAGAAGCACCTGATTCAATCTGAATGGCAGGAAGACCCACCATGGCAGCTCCTTCCACAGGAGCTCTGCAGAAGGCCTGGTGGCACCTCAGTGACTGACTGGTTATGTGACACCCACTCCCTGACCCCTTCAAACCCAACAAAGTTCTCAGCTATTAAAATAAGCCCAGCCCACGCCACGAAGCCAGCAGGGGCTGGCCTGGCAGGCAGGAGCCCGTGGTGCTACCTGCGAAGCCCGAGCCGCAGTTGGTGACGATGTCCAGCAGAGCCTCTGGCAGGAAGCCCTCCCGAGCAAAGCGCTCCAGGAAGATGTCCCCCTGCCTCTTGGACAGCTTGCCACCGTCCCTGTTCAGCAGCAGGGGCAGGTGGCCAAAGCGAGGGGGCTCCCAGCCAAAGGCCTTGTAGAGGAGCAGGTGCTTGGAAGTGGAAGCCAGCCACTCGGTGCCGCGCAGGACGTGGGTGATGCCCATGGAGTGGTCGTCGACCACGCTGGCCAGGTGGTACGTGGGGAACCCGTCTGCCTTGAGGATCACGGGGTCGCCTTCCACCTCGGCCACCTCGTGCTTGCTCCAGCCGTAGACCAGGTCCTGGAAGGGCTGCGCGCCCCTCTCCAGGCGGAAGCGGATGACGCAGTCCAGGCCCTGTGACAGCTTCTGCGCCACCTCCGCGGGCGTCAGGTGCCGGCAGCGGTTGTCATAGCTGGGGACACGAGCCAGGGCTCCTGCTCAGCACAGCCCGGCACCAGCGTGCTTTCACAGCCCCACAACTCTAAGAGATGCCGGAATTCCAGCTGCAACCCTCCCACTGCACGTCCAGTCCAACACCTCGTCTCTGCAGGGTGACACACTCCTTCCCCTGCGGGGACGGGGACAGCCACGGCACTGGGGGGCTTTGTGCAGGGGACAGGGACACGGAGACACAGACACGGGGACAGGGACAGCCCAGCGCTGCGGGGTTTTGTGCAGGGGACAGGGACACAGGGACACGGGGACAGGGACAGCCCCAGTGCTGTGGGGCTTTCTGCAGGGGACAGGGACACTGGCATAGGGACACGGGGACAGGGACCCGGGGACAGGGACGTGGGACAGCCCCAGTGCTGTGGGGCTTTCTGCAGGGGACAGGGACACGGGGACAGCGCTGCGGGGCTTTGTGCAGGGGACAGGGACACAGGGACACGGGGACAGGGACTCACCGCGGGGTGTGCTGGCGGCGCAGCGCGTCCCTGCGCAGCAGCTGCAGGCGCTGCGGGCTGCAGAAGCAGCGGTAGGCGGCCCCGCGGGCCAGCAGCGCCGCGCCCGCCCGCCCGTACAGCTCCAGCCGCCGCGACTGCACGTAGGGCCCGGCGGGGCCGCCCCGCGCGGGGCTCTCGTCCGGGGGAATGCCTGCAAGGGCACGGCGGCGCTGAGCGGCCGGCACGGGCAGCGACACCCGACCCCGGCTGAGCACAGCAGCCTCTGAGGGAAAGGCAAGGCTTCGCTAGGTGAAAAATGAAAGATGTTTCTGAATACCTGCCCAGTTCAGCATGTCTTCTATTCCTTCCGCAGCTCCAGGCACCACTCGATTCTGATCTGTATCCTCCACTCTTAAAATAAAGGTCCCTTGGTGTTTTTTGGCAAAGATGTAATTGTACAAAGCTGTCCTAAGGCCACCTAAGTGCAGAAAACCTGTAATCGTGGGGAAATCAGAGGAGACAGTCACCAGGGAGAGCCAGGGGAGAGCTCTAAATGTGAGCTGGAAGGGCGGGGGATGCTGCCTGCGCGGGGAGCGGCACCGGGCCGGGAGCGGCACCGCGGGGCACCCCCAGCTCCGGGCACTGCCTGCGAACACAACTCACGGGTGACCGCTCAAGAGTCCCCGAAGTGAGCCGCACTGCCTGACACGGCAGGACCAGCGCTGCCACGGCACACCGACCGTGACCCCGCACGGCCGGCAGGCACCGGGACCCGCCGGGAGGGCGAGCCCGCAGCCCCGGCGGGAGCGCTCCGGGCAGGCAGCGCCCAGGGCCGCTCCAGAGTCAGGATTTGTGCTTTCCAACCCAAAACCCCGCCCGCCGCAGCGCAGCCCCGGGGCGGGGCTGCCGACGGGCCGGTTACCTGTGGGGCTGGGCCCGAACCGGACCCGCGGGCCCGATGACAATCCCGGTCCCGGTTCCAATCCCTGTCCCGGTTCCGGTCCCGATGACAATCCCGATCCGGATCCCCATCCCCGTCCCGGTCCCGGTCCCGGTCCCGGTCCCGGTCCCGGTCCCGGTCCCGGTCCCGGTCCCGGTCCCCCCGCGCAGCGCAGCGCGCGCAGAGCTCGCGCCATCCCTCCACGTGCCCGCGGCGCCGTTTCCGCCCCGCCGCGGCAGCCAATCCCCGCGCGCGCCGCCGCCGGGGGGCGGGGCTTCCCTTAAAGGCGCCGCCGCACGCTTCGCCCCGTCGCGGCAGGGGAGCGCGGCCGCCGGCACGGGCCCGGCAGCGTGGGGGAGTTCCGGTGCCCGGAGCGCTGAGCGGAGGGTCCGCCTCCCGTCCCGCCTGCCGGCGCGGCGCGGCCGGTGCTGCGGGGGCGCGATCTGGGGGCCGCGGCCG